CTTTTTAAAGCTGTATGAAGTTTTACCTGTAATTCTTTTATGTAATTGACCAACCATTACTCCCTCTTTTGGGGGAAAAAATAGGCTGTGAATGGAATGATTGATTGATTCATTGATTGATTGGACAAGAGCCTAGACCCAAACAGCTCTTTCCACCAGATCTACACACTGGGAGACAACTGGTTGGAATGGGAAAGATATCTTTAGGGAAAGCTTTCTATCATTACTCCATTTTTGAAATCAAGGAACCCCTTAAAGGCTGCCAAGACATTTTGAGCATTTGTGGGAAAATGGTTTAATATCCACCGTATGACTCTAGCCTTTGGGAGCAATGTTCTCCAAAACAAATGGAAGACTGTTTGCCGAGAGCTTCCCATCCTCATAGGTCCTAAAGCTGGAGGCAAACATGACAAATCTCCTTGATAAACATGGGCTGTTTGTAGACCAAAGACTATATAATTGCTTGGCTATGCCATTAACAGCACATTGTTTACCTGAAGCATTATTCAGGCTCAGCAAGAAAGCTATACTCCAGAGGAACTCCCTTGTAGCTGAATCCCAAGGGACAGTCTTCAGCTTAGTTTGGAAGTAGCATGTTGCAGAAAACAACAGTGGCTAAGAACTTTGAATAGCATAAATTGACATACATGCAGTTATCCCTGGACTACCTCACCCTTCTACTGAATATCAGTGTTTTGCCATCAACTGTGTATCTGCCCATATGCCTGCATAAGGAATGAGAGCAGCTGAGGAATGAGTTCCTCCTCTGTGTCCCATCAACAATGTTAATACATTATGTGAGGGCTTGGAAGAGGCCATTTTCAGCTGTGGCACCCCAATTGTGGAATGCCTTCTCCTTGGAAGCCTGACTGGCACCAATGATGGTTTCATTTGGCACCATGGCAGACAGCCAGCATGGTGCAGTGTTTTGAGCGTTGGACTGTGACTCTGGAGACCAAGGTTTGAGTTTCTGCTTGGCCATGAAACCCACTGGGTGACCTTGTGCAAGTCACAGGCTCTCAGCCTCAGGGAAAAGCAATGGCAAACCTCCTCTGAATAAATATTGCTAAGAAATCTCCATGATAGGGATGCCTTAGGTTTGCCATAAGTCAAAAATTACTTGAAGGCACACAAGATATATACACACACACACAAACCCCATGCTGCTCAATAAAACCTTTGGGCCTCACTGATTCATCTCAAAATGCTAAGGTACATAATTTTAAAACTGTTTTAGTCCGTGATACCCTTGAAACTTGTTAGTTGCATTTAATACATTTCCAGTCTATTTAAAGATATACCATTGAATCACTGTAAAGGTATAGCACTGACTACTAAAGTTGGATGGTCTATGCCGTCCTATTTCCAGTATCTATGTATGGTGGTGAAAGCTGGACATTGAAGAAAGCTGAAAGGAAGAAAATCAACTCATTTGAGATGTGGAGAAGAGTTTTATGGATACCGTAGACTGCTAAAAAGACCAATAAATGGGTCCTAGAACAAATCAGGCCCAAACTCTTCTTAGAAGCCAAGATGACTAAACTGAGGCTGGCATACTTTGGCCACATCATGAGAAGACCTGACTCACTAGAAAATACAATAATACTTAGTAAGGTCAAGGGAAGTAAGAAAAGAGGAATGCGTCATTCTGGATAGATAGACTTAATCCAGGAAGCCACAGCTTTGTATCCACAAGACCTGAATAGGGCTGTTGAGGTCTCTCATTCATAGCGTCGCCATAAGTTGCAATCGACTTGATGATAGTTAATAACAACTATAAAGTAGTTATACCCTCAGGACTGCAAGGGATCGAAGGATCATATAACATTTAATATATAACATATAACAGACTTGAGTCAATCCATCTGCAATATGGTCGTGCTTCTTTCCTACTGGCTTCAGCTTTTCCCAGCATTATTGTCTTTTCTAATGGATCATGTTTCCTCATGGTGTGTCCAAAGTATAATAGCCCCAGTTTAGTCATGTAATCATTTAGTGATAGGTTAGGCTTGATTTGCTCTAGAAACCATTTATTGTTCTTTTGGAAGTCCTCATCATAGACTGGAACAGCATAATGACAAATAAGAGCACATGGGCTAAAACTGTGATATGTTCTGGGTTGTTTCTTCTCTGCTGTCTTGGGAAAAATAAAAGTTGGCTACCACTCACCCTGTGATATACAAGAAAACCTGCTATGCAGTGGGAATTGATTTTAGATCACATGAGGTTTACTTTTGCAGTTCTCTGTGTTGTTGTCATATAACTTCTTACATTTTCTAAGCTGCTTGAAAACAGTAAAAAAAAAAAATCCTTGGCAGAAATCTTTGTCGTTGTGTTCATAAGACCTGTCAAAATTCCATTTCTCAACAGAGGTAATTTTAATCGCCTCTCTTTCTCTTTCTTGCTATAGCAAGTGGTTGCAGAAATAATTGAATATAACTTTGTTTTATGGGGGATAGGGTGACCTTGT